GTTCAAAAGTAGAATTATTGCCCAAATCTTAGCTAACTATATGGCTTACTCGATTGTTAAGTTAATGGCTATGTACATGGACTACTTTGCTAATTGGTGAGACGGCAGATAAATAGAATAGATGAGACGACTGAATTCATTGTGGAGTGGCCTTTTGTGTGGTCACAGTCTCCTTTCGTTGCATAGAAGTTGTTTGACATTGTGATCGCAAGTTGGTCATATTGGTTGGAAGACTTAGAGGAACACACCGAGTCCGGAGTCCATTGTATGCATGATAATTTTCAGTCGAACCGTGAACATGGGAATGTAACACATTCAAGTCTTCTAACCAATATTACCAAGTTGCGAAAACAAGGTCAAACAACTTATAAGAAATTATTTAAATATAAAAAAATCTACAAAGGTTTAATTGTCCAGAAATCAAATTGATCAAGCATATGGACAAGATGGAAAACCAGATAGTGATCTATAACCCAACTTTTTGCAGGACATGCAAATTTCACAACTAAACGGAAGATAGAGGGGTCAATAGAAAGTAACAAAATCAACAAACCGAACAAAAAGATCGAGTGCGGGAACTATCTCCAGCTAGTGGAAAGGATTGGAGGGCAAAACGAATAGCAAATTAAGAGGCTGGATCAACCTAGATTCTGGCACTTCAAATGGCTCGTAGTAAATAGACACAACGCACGCACAATAAACACTTAAATTGGTACTCAAATTAAGTGATACTTATGGACTACCAGTACATGTTGAAATTTAGTCATACTTGGCCGCAAAAAGTGATAAAGGACTAATAGTCAATTTTACCATGAGACAGGGCCTAATGATGAAATTATGTTCCACTTAACCTTGCTCCCAAAAAGTATTCGCAACTAGGGAAGATGCAATTTAGACCTCGACTAGATGTCATCATCTTAAACATGCAGCAATAGCATGGGATCATAAAAGTAGATTTCGATACTATCATATAATAAATAAGAACAATGATTCTATAAGAAATAAGTAGGATTGTAACTGTCTAACTCTCTTGGATTAAATAATGGTTTCTGGTTGACGGTGACTATTCTATGACAAATGAGAACCCAACATGAATTCATCGGGGTACGCTGAGAAATTCTTCGCTCACATTAACAGTGGCCCCAAAGCAAGCCTGTGGTTTCCGTTGAGTTCAATGTACGAATATTTCCCACTAGACTTAGCCTTCAAAATAAAAAAAACGTTGAAATACTTCATTTGATTAAAAAATTGTATCTATAGGTTGTCAAAACTCTAAAATTAATTCTTACTCGACATTTTTCGATTCATCAATGTATAATTGATTGTTTGATCTTGTTTTCACAACTTGGTCATATTGGTAGGAAGACTTAGAGGAATGCACCTAGTCAGGAGTTCATTGTATGCATGATGATTTCCAGAGTAGGACCGTGAACGTGGTATATTTCCAGACCTTTCGCTGATATCGTAGTCGGCATAGACAGTGAGTCTAGCCAGTCTTAGCGCAACACAATAACTCGTCAGAGACAAATTAAGCCGATCCTTTGACCGAACGTGTGTTAAACAGTTGTAGTATCTTTTATTCTGCCCTGGGCTATTCACATTTCCTATATCTTCGTATCACATCTTCACTGTAACAATTTTTCACTGTGCTTATTTAGATGTAGTGTGGTGTGCTCCTTTTAGCGACATTCATTAAACCTTCCACACTCCACACTGACGTTCTCAACTCCATCCCTTCACCCTTGCGCTGGGAATGTTGATCAGAGTCTGCCATATTGTTACGCAGTCCTCCTTCCATAGGTCTTATCAGTCTCCCTCCTGCCCCGTAGAATCCGTCTGCTATCTGCCTGGTACGCGTATTACACTTGACTCCTGCTCCCTCATCTGTGCTACTCGAGCTGTTATTACCACTCGCCATGTGTCTGGGTGACTAATTCGAGGCAAAAGCCTCTGAGTAAGTAACATGGTCAAGCCTTTGCTACAAGGATCATGTCTATGGTCAAACAGGTCTACTGTCAGCCAACTCGCTATAGTCTCCGCCACGTCTATCCTATTTATATCCCTAATACCAAGTCCATGACTTGCTGTGCCCTAGTCTCTTGTGTTTCGACCCACAAATGTTGCAGTTAAACATTGAGCCTAATCAAAGCAGGCAGTACCGCAACATTTGTGGGTTGGCACGCAAGAAACTAGGGCATAGCAAGTCAGAGACTTGATATTACGAATAGAAACATGAGACGCGGCGGAGACTGGAGTTAGTGGGCTGGCAGTGGGTTATACCAGAGACGTGGTCCATGTAACAAATGCTTGATCATGAGAGTTACTCAGAGGCTTTAACCTTGAATTAGAAACTCAGGCGCAGTGTGGGAAGTAGCGCTTCGAGTAGCACAGATGAGGTGGTAGAGGTCGAGTGAAATACTTGAACCAGGGCGATAGCAGACGGATCCTACTGGGCAAGAGGGAGACTCTGATAAGACCTATGGAAGGAGGACTGTGTAACAATATGACAGACTCTGATCAACATTCCCAGGGCAAAGGTGAAAACGCCAGCGTGAAGTGTAGAGGGTTTCATGAATGCCGCTCAAAGGAGCACACTACACTACATCTAAATAAGCACGGTAAAAAATTGTAACAGTGAAGGCGTGATACGAAGATATAGGAAATTTCAATAGCCTAAGGCAGGAGAGATACTACAACTGTTTAGAACACGTTTGGTCAAATGATAGGCTTCACTTGTCTCTTTGACGAGTTATTGTTTGGCGCTAAGGCTGACAAGACTCACTCTGTATGCTGGCTAAGATGACGGCAAAACGTCTGGAAATGTACCACGTCCACGGTCCTACTCTAGAGATGATCATGCATACAATGGACTCTGGACTAGGTGCGTTGCTCTAAGTCTTCCTACCGAAATGACCAAGTTGCGAAAACAGGGCCAAACAACCTCAATATTTACTATGCCTATTTTGCAGTAAATCTTTTAATAATTTAACCATTACTTATACGACTCGAAGAAAATCTAACTTGTTCTATTTATAGGAAATTCTGTGATATATATGTATGAAAAAAGAGTAAAAAGACAAACTAGCACACTAAGATCAAAATATTGCTATGTACATATTTGACTAGCCTAGATAACCTAAGAAAAATATAGATGAAATTCGTCAAATGAAACAAACTTGTTGGATTAGATATGATCTGTAGACCAGGTATACGACCCATCCACATTCGGCCCACTCTAGTGAGTTCCAAGTGTCGATGTGATTGAGCCAAAGCTTGGAATGCCTCCTGATCTCGAGATAGAGATCCATCAGGATTATAAGGGATCCCTTCATTAAGTTTATCAATGGAATGTTCCTGCTCTTCTTCATCCTCGTCTTCTTCATCGCATAAGCCAAAGTGGCAAGGTCTGGGGGCGAATGAGCGAGCTAAGGCAAGTTCACCACGATAAAGTGCAGCTATTTCTGAATCGGCTGGGGAAAGTCCATTACCAGCAATGTCGTTTGCAAGGTCAGCTGAGCGACTTGGAATAAATACAGAGGGAGTCAGTAGCAGAACACATGCACCCCGGATAGCCAAGAGACGAGCTAGGCAGATGGAGATTGCTCCTCCAAGATGTGGACCATTTGGTAAAATAATTATCCGAGGAGGTGGATGACGATAAGAAAATCTAAAAGGAATAAGACACATGCAAGCAATGAAAGGAAGAAAGTATAAATGATAAACAAGTAAATAACGCTGACGACATATAGACAAGCAAATCTTAATTATGAGAAATCAATTTCAGATAACGCAGTTAAAGTAATGTCAAGACTTGCATGTGTAAAATATTTTTTAATCAAAATTCCAACGAGCTAAATAGAATTTAATTTCGAAGAATTTAATTTGCATGTTTAAATACAAGATTTAAACAAGCGTAAACATCGAAGGTATGAAGACCAAGATGGTGTGGTCTTTTCTGTGGTCGCAGTTTACTGTCGTTGTAAAGAAGTTGTTTGACCTTGTGTTCGCAACTCGGTCTTATTGGTAGGAAGACTTAGGGGAACGCACCTAGTCCAGAGTCCATTGTATGCATCATCATTTACAAAGTGAACGCGGTAGATTCCCTGACGTTTCGCCGGCATCGTAGTCGGCATCGTCAGTGAGTCTCGCCATTCGTAGCACCATATTACAACGCGTCAGAGACAAGTGAAGCACATCCTTTGGCCTAAAGTGTGCTAAACGTGTGCCCTTCTGCCCTGGGCTATTCACATTTCCTATATCCTCCTATCATGCCTTCATTGTCACCATTTTTACCGTGCTTATTTATTAATGTAGTGTGGTGTGCTCCTTCGAGCGATATTCATGAAAACCATCACACTCCACACTGTCGTTATCACCCCCTTCACCTTTGTGCTGGGAATGTTGACCAGAGTCTGTCATATTGTTACATAGACCTTCCCTGTGTCCTATCAAAGTCTCCCTCTTACCCCGTCGAATATATCTGCTATAGACCTGGTACATGTATTTCATTCGACCTCTGCCCTCCCCCATTTGTGCTATTACAGGCGTAATTCGTCTATCTCCTGCACCTGGGTGATTGATTAGAGGCTGAAGTCTCAGAATAAGTCTCATGGTCATGTCTTTGCTACATGGACCACGTCTCTTGTAAAACCTACTGTCAGCCAACTATCTCCAATCGCCGCCTCGTGTATCCTGTCTCTATCCCTTATATTCGTAAATGAGTAGGGTTTCGAGACTTTTGGGAAAGCAAGGCTATGTGAAATTCAATGGAAAAGTCAGCTAAACTCATATCATTGTGGGA